AAATAGACACCCGTCCATAAAGATGGACGGGCGTCCATTATTTTTCTTTTAAATTTTTTTGGACGGCGATCATACATATGAACAAGTTCATTAATATGGGCGAGCGTACATAAATGTTGGAAGACCGTTCATTAATGACTCCAGCGTAGTCGCGTCTGATTGGTTCTCAGGTACTTCGGTACAAAAATTCAGTGTCTGTAGCATTACTCACTAATTATAGTTGGTGCAGAATATATGTTAATGAGTCCACTTAGAAATCCTATATATAAACTTATTCATATAAGTTGATAAGTTATAATATATTTAGACAACTTAAAATTCAAGATAATTGAAACAATTTAAATAATGAGGTTAATATGTTAGATTAGAGTATTTACTTTAGTGCTATCAAAAACATGTTAAGACTATTATCGAACTAAAAACGTCATATAAATAATATTAAAAATATATATTATTATGAATAAATCTATGCCGGTCTCTTGACACTTTTCCAGTTTCAACTTGGGTGATATCGATGTCCAGTCCTTTGAATTGTTTAGCACAATTGTCAGCTTCTGATTCCTCTTGTCCATCATTCAACAATCTGGAAAACCCTTCAGCCAAATTCTTCTTTGCCGCTGGAGAAACGCCATTGTTCCCAATAATTGATTCCAAAACTGACTCTCCAAGTTTTTTATTATCTATCTCCACCTTCCAGGATTCCCCTATCGATTCATCTTGCGAGAGGCCTATCTGCAGGAGAATAAAATACATATATAAATTCTGACCCCTTCAATTTAGATACGTCTTTTAATACAAAAGTCAGTTGCAATTTGCATGAAAAAATACACGAAGGCAACTTCGATTTTATATTTTCGTTTCATATATATGTTACTTACTGTCAATAGGGAAGTTTTCATCCTTGAAGGCCTCAAGGAATTGCTCAATGGCTTCGGTTTCATCATCTGTGTAAACTCCCAGTGATTTCCAAATAGCCATGCAATTTTCAGCAACCTTCTGTGAGTATTGTTGACCAGTTAATGGCAAGATCATTGTCACTCACTCACTCTAATGAATTTCTCAAAGGGACCTGCAAAATGATACCAAAACTATCATTCATAATCCAAAACAAAACTTAGGATGATATATTTTAATTTATCATAATTTATATATAATTATGGTATAATTATGAAAAACTTGTCCACCTCACGTTCACTTAACGACCAAAATTAATGCATTGAAAGCGGACAGAGAAAAGAATCATTACCTGTAACGATATCTCTAAAGAGCTCAACGGATTCAGATAACTCCCTGGCACTCTTCTCCTTCCACTTGTTGGAGAGTGCTGACACAACGCTATCTTCAATGTACACTCCGACCGCGGTGAACTTCACGAACTTGCCTTGAATTTCCAAACCTCTCACCCCTGCGCAAGGTAGCACCAATTAAGAGTTATTGAGTCATGTCAAATAGTACTAAAAGAGAAGAAAACGACAAATGCGGTGCACCGTGTAGCGTAATTCAATAACCTGCGCCAGCGAGGAAGTGAGTTTTGGTGGAGGTAGGAGGTCTACAGGTGGAGGAGAAGGTGTAGTTTTCGACCTGTCTATGGGTGACGACCTGTGGGGGATTCATTTTGAAAAGACAAGTGGTTTTGATAGAAAGAAAAGTGAGGTTTGAGTTGAGCCTGAGAATAGCATAACTGGATATTTGTGGTGGTATTTATACAAGGAGAGGGAAGGGAGTTGGTTTTATTTGTGAACATAAATTGTTATTTTTTTTTTTAATTTAGTAACGGTAAATCGGGCATTTCGAATAGGTCAAAGATACGGACGGCACATCAGGATGATAATAAAACTACGGACAATGAATTTTTGCATTAAAATTTTTTACCAAACGAAGTGGCATCTAATCAAATGCAGACACATTGGATAGAAAATACGTCTTCCGTGAATGGATGATCGTCCAACAATCACGGACAATCGTCCATACTTTATAGATGACTGTTCATCATGAATGGATAAATGTCTACAAAAATATCAATAGATCCCTGTCCATATTATATGGACGAGTGTCCATTTACTATGGATGGACATCCATATAAGATGAACGCTCATCTAAAAAAAATTAAAAACAAAATGATTGACGCTTGTCCATCTAATACGGACAAGTATCCATATAAAATGGATGGTCGTCCATATGCAATGGATGACTGTCCATTGTTATTCGAGTTTAATAAAAAAAACTATTTCAAAATTCAATTTTCGTAGGTATTGGGGTTCAGTTTACCAAACTCTTTGTGAAACCCCTTAAAGTCAATGCCAAACTTCCTCCAAATTACTAATTTTGGAATTTGGAAATTCCAGTCTTAGATAACAAAAGTAGTACTTTAAAGAATTATTAATTAAGAAAAATGCTATGGACACTGATGCTTTATACCGAATTTTTACACTGAACGATGTGTCCACTGAATCAGACGAGTCATGTATCACGTTAACAAATTAACAAATATTCCACGAATGAACGGTCGTCCATCAAATATGGATGACCGTCCATTGTTATTGGACGGCCGTCCACCTACAATGGACGTCCATTCATAGTTTAAACTAAAAAAAATTAGCTTAAATTGTTTATGGACACCCGTCATCTTATGAGGACGACTATCCATATTTATGGACTACCGTCCATATATTATGGACGAGAGTCATTTTACTATGGATGGTCGTCCATATTATATGGATGGACGTCCATATAATTTCAAACGAAATATTTATTTTTAAAGTATAAAATTTGTAAATGAAATAAAAGAAAAAATTTTGACTTTAAGTATGGACTGGCATCCATTCACAATTTTTTTTTTAATTTTCAATTTTTTTTTCATTTATAAACAAAATACAAGAGAGAAATGAAACTTGTTTTTGGAGGCCTAAATTTTCAAACATTCTAATTGAAAATTTTAAAGAAATTTTTTTATTAAACTAAAATTTGGGCCTCCCAAATTGAATGTAAAATTTTTTAAATTAAACAATGGACAGATGTCCATCTAAAAGGGACATATGTCTATTGAATATAAAATTTTTTAAAATATTTTGGACGTATGGACACTTGTCCATAGTAAATAGACACCCGTCCATATAAGATGGACGGGCGTCCATTATTTTTCTTTTAAATTTTTTTGGACGGGCGATCATACAATATGAACAGAAGTTCATTAAATATGGGCGAGCGTACATAAATGTTGGAAGACCGTTCATTCATAAAAGACTCCAGCGTAGTCGCGTCTGATTGGTTCTCAGGTACTTCGGTACAAAAATTCAGTGTCTGTAGCATTACTCACTAATTAATAGTTGCATGCATGATAGTATTAAAATGATAGTATATCAAATAGACTCTTTCAAAAGTCCATTTACTATGGATAGTCGTCCATTGCATATGGACAACCGCCCATTGTATATGGATGCCCGTCTGTATTAGATGGACGGGGATCAATCATTTTGATTTTAAAATTTTTTGGACGGGCATCCATATTATATGGATGTCTGTCCATATTATTTGGACGGGGTCCATTGATATTTTTGTGGATGCTCGTCCATTCGTGATGAACGATCGTCCATAAAGTATGGACCATCGTCCGTGATTGTTGGAAGGTCGTTTATTCATGGGAGACGTGTTTTTTGTCCAATGTGTCTGCGTCTGACTGGATGTCACATCATTCGATAAAAAATTTCAGTGTAAAAAATTTGATGTCCGTAGCATTATTGTCAAGATAGATATCAAGGAATAGAAATGGTAAAAATGTAAATTAAAACCAAATTAAAATATTACCTTTTAGTGTGAACAAAAAATACTCCAATATTCAAACTTCTAAGACAACTAAACTTTCAATTTTTATCCCCAAATAGTATTAATCTGTTCAGTCAGAAGAACAATTTCGTCCCTAAAGTTTAGGTTAGTCTCCTTTAGACTTGTAGAATTTTTTAGTAACATTTTAATCTTTGTCAATATCATTTGGGTCTCCAAAATAGTGAAGTTTGTAGGCGACAACATTAAATGTTATAATAATACTAGAGGTACAAATAAATTTACAAAGATTTCTTATATAAAGTGATGTGACAGAAAATAAATAGAAGAGTGAATACAAAAAGTCAAACTTATCATATTTACTCTTTTATTCATCTCGCTAACTCACTTTATATAAAACCTTTTATTTAATTTAGGTTTTCGTAAGGATCCTAATTGAGTCACATAACGTTAAGACTTGTGGCTTTATAACTACTTGAATATACTCTCTTTACAAGTTATTACAATTGGAATTAGAATAGGATCTCACTATCTTAAGGAATGTGGTGTGATTTATTAATCCATGACTATATTTCATAATAGTTTTACTCCAAAATAAAAAAACTTAGAAAATAAGTTCTAGATATTTATCCAAAAAGAAAAAGCTTAAAAACTCTTATGATACTCAAATACTTCTAGATAAAATTGTTTCGACCGATTCACTTATATTTTCTTTTTATATAAAAGATATGAGACCCAAAAATTAATTCTTGAAGGAAAGGAGAAGCATTAACTAATTTTCATAAATTTTAATTTAATTATAGAATATCGAATTATAAGTCACCTAAATTGAATTTGATTATTTGGAGACTATATATATATATATATATATATAAAGTTTTGGATGGATAATGAAAAAGAAAAATAAATATTTTATTACTGGTATACCCTCACTTAAATGATGGGGTTATGTTACATTATTGTCTTTGTTCGATATAAACTGAATTTCTAAATTCAGAGCGTGTACCAGTTAACTTAACCCAATGAACAAATTTCATGTGGAATTTATAATTTTTCTAAATTATTCACACAGAAGAAAAAGAAGGAAAACATTTATGACGTGGACGTGAAAATATCTAATCTCAGTTTAAACATTAAAAATTAAAACCTAAATAGACTAGCAGGTTGATCTACCTTAAAACTCCATCAAAACGACACCTCATTGTGAGAAAAACGACGTGGCCAATTTCCATTCCGACCAAATCCACCACGCTGACTCTGTTTCATTTCTCATCTTCTTCAACCTCCAATATAAACCTCCAAACAAACCATTAGTAAATCTCTTTTTTGCTTTTAATTTCTCCACTCAAACATAAAAATCATAAAATCAAACAAAATAACAATCCACTCTGTTTATCATTTTACTCGAAATCTTAAAAAAATCATTAAAAAAAAAAAAAAAGGTTGAAACGATGTCGTGGTTGAGGAATGCCGTGAACAAAGCGGTGGAGGTCGGGAACAAGAACAACCTGACACGCACCGTAAGGAACTACGCGGACACCGTCGTTCAACAGGCCGGCCAAGCCGTCGCTGAAGGAGCCAAAATCTTGCAAGATCGAATTGTAATGTCATTTCAGTTTTTCGCTTTCAATTCTAGTTTAAATTTAGGGTTTTTGTTACTTATCTTTTGCAATAATCAATTAAATTTGATCTTGTTGGGGAAATATAGAATGTAGCAAGCTGGAAGCTCTTGAATGTTGCCTTTAGGGTTTCTGTTAGGTTATATAATTACCATATTTATTTCGAGTTATTTGATGATAATTTTATTGTTTATTTTGTAGTTTGAAAAGATTTATTTATATAATTTTTATGATGTGTCTGATAAAGTTAGATATTTCATGTTTTGGGAACTTTAAAGTTGCCATCTATGTTTCAAGGGAGTTATGTTGCTGGAGCTGATGCTACTGGAGTGACGCTAAAATTTGATGTCAAAGTAGTAAAATTTGACGTTCCATGTTATTAAAACTGTAACTGTAACCTTAGTAGTCCATTGGATGGACCTCTGTTTGAATTCAGTGTTTATTTAATTTGTTTTTAAATTCAAATCTGAGTGCGTAACTTGTTTAAGTTGTATGCTGATGAAGGGGACGCGGAATTTCAGAAGTGCAAAGCAAACTATCAAAAGATTGGAGGAAGCTGCAATCTCATGTAGGGGCCCGGAAAGAGTAATGTTGCTGAGAAGATGGTTGATTGTGCTTAAACAGGCTGAAAGATCATCAGCCCCTGTATCTGAGGATAAAGAAAAAGTGCATGAGCCTCATGGGACTGATGAAGGAAAGGAGAGTCCAAGAAAATCAGCTATGGTGAGCTTAATTAGTTCTGAATACCATGTATTTAAGTTTTCAATTTGGCTGTACGAAAAATGCAATTTTGTTATGGATTGTGCCATTTTGCTTTATGTTTTGTGACTTTATATATTGGTTTCTGAGGTCTGTAGTTCACTGTCCTCCCTCCTCTTATCTCTTTAGTGTACAATACTTCTACTAAATTTAAGAGTACTATGTCAAATTCATATTGCTAGTTATATTGTTGCCACTATCTCATATCTAGGGTGAAAAAGTGTGTACTGGTTCTGAGTGCATGCTATTTTAAATTGTGTATGCTGGAACTCTTTATCAAGAGAGAGACCCAAACAGTGACTATTTAAATGTGAGATATACTGCAGTTGATTGCAGTTGTCCTTTCCAATAATAAAGGTGCTTATTGTTTTGTGAACTTTTGGTTTCTTTTGCTGAGTTGTAACATTAATGAATATCGGGACCATAGATTTGCTAATTATATCCCAATTTTTTGGCTATGTGAATTTATTCAATTTAATTATTGGCATACCAATACTGTTAGTCCATATTATTGTCCCTTGAATTTTATTTCTATTGTTTAAGTTGCTCTTCTCAATGACCTTTTTGTTGTTATGTACAGCTTCTGTATTATGACTCTGATGTTGGGGGTGAACCTTTGAATTTCCGTGATGTTTTTCTTCAAAGCCAGGCTCTGGAGGGCATAACATTGTCCATGGTATGCTAAAATTAATCTGAATCATTTGTGCAAACTTGAATTATACTTGCCACTTTGAATTAATTAATGGAATCTTGGATATTGGTGTGGTTCTAAATGAACATCTACATTTTCTGTTTGTTGGTTATGAAGGTTAACCATGGGTTAACTCTTTTTAATGATTCAGATTCTTGAAGCACCAAGTGATGAAGAAATTTCTTTGCTCTTGGAGATGTTTGGGTGAGTATAATTGTTATTATCATAATAATTATTTCTTAATTGTGACCTATAATGCACTATAGCTTACTGGACTAAGATTGAAAATTTCCTTGTTAATCCATGGTGCTAAAAGTTTCTAAATATTTGGCTTAGGATTAGCTACTATTTAGCATTAGCAGGATGTGGCAGCAATTTTTTTAAGTATTTATGTTTTGTTTTTGAGTTTATTGCATCTTGCTGGAGAATTTGTTGGGTCCATCGAGGTATATATAAAAAGAGTTGTGAGTCAATGTTTGAAGTGAGCCCCAGTTCGATCTTTTGTTTTTAGTTTTTGGTTTCTTTTTTTTAAATCACTAATTATTTGCTTGTTTGCAGGCTCTGCCTTATAGGAGGAAAAGAAGTTCATAATGCAATAACAAGCAGTATACAGGATCTAGCTACAGCTCTCTCAAGCTACCAAGAAGAAGTATTGGTAAACCCATGAAAAACATTAATCAAGCTTTTATTATTTTACTCATTTACAGGGCTCTGGAACATCGAACCCGCAAATGTGGTTTTAGCTGTCTTGCCTAATTTGTGCATAAGTAATTGCTTTGGTGCAGATTGCTGGTTTGACCTACTCACCATCTTCTTCTTTCTGGTGGTAAATGTATAGGTAAAGCGGGAGGAATTGCTTCAGTTTGCACAAGGTGCCATTTCAGGGTTGAAGATTAATGCTGATATTATCAGGTGGTTGAGAAATGAGGAGCTTCTCTCTTCATTCCTCGTTCTTTCAATTTTTTATTTCCTTTTCTCTGGTTTTTTGCATTTTGGTTCGAGATCTCTGCCTAAGCTCTTATATGGGTTGTAAATGTCATGTTCTGTTATGTTTGGAGTCTTCAATATATTCTATACTCTGTGTTTTCTCTGGAGGAATATGGAGTTTTCTTTTGGATGCATTCTTATATATTTTTAATTTGAATACAATGCTATGTTGAAATAGATCTTGATAGATAAATAATTATTCATGTTGACATGGAAAAGACTGAATTAACAGGTTCTTTCTTTCCTTTTTTTGATCTGCTTTCTGGTAGAATTGATGCTGAAGCCTCCGACCTAAAGAAAAAACTTGATAGATTGAATGTTTCTCTAAAAGCTTCAAATGAAGGTCTTGAGCAAGCATCTGAAGAAACTACTATGGCAACAATAGAGGTGAGCTTGGTTACTGATTACCATTTTTTTTTTTTTTTTTTCTTTCAAAGATGTTGTGGGGTATCAAAATACTTTCTGGATAAAAACTTCAATTCAGAATCAGACTGAGTTAGTTGTCACTTTTAAGGAAGGCTCAGAAGTAGGATATTCATATTTGCATTGGTTATTTGACCTCCATGGAGCTATGGTATAGTATATTTGGTTCTTCAAATCAAGATAAAATGGAAACTATTTTGAGGTACTTCCTATTGATATGGGTGGGTGTTTTCATGGGCGTAGGATAATCTCAACCCTTTAATTGAGTAAAAAGCTATGAACTATGAAATTGACCACTCTTTCTTTATAAATAGGCTTTGAAAGAAGCACTTGCACAAGTTCGGGCTTGTTCCAGATTGGAGGGACTTTTGCTAAAAAAGAAAATGTTGAACAATGGAGACTCTCCCGAGATACATGCTCAAAAGGTACTCATATGCTTGCTCTTTGGTTGTTCCTTGGTTATGTTTGAATGAGCATTTTCCTCTTGGTCCCCTTTTTTCTATTTTGATTTTACTTCTATGTGTTTGTGTGAAGTGTTTTTTCTATGCCATGTCTTCTTTGTCCCTTTTAAGCTATGAATTTGTGGACATAGATGTGAGCGGGGTGATATTAATGTAAGCAGGTTGAGAAGCTGAAGGTGTTATCTCTTTTAACTCTACCGTAAAATCTGAAAAGCGCATTTCAGATCACAGGTATCTTTTTGGTGTTTTTTTTTTTTTTTTTTTTTTTCTTTTTTTTTTTTGTCTAAAGCATCATAAACTTCCACTTTCTACCCAGTTATCTGGAGTGTGAAGGAATTTAATTGAATTTGTGGGAAGTGCAAAGTAAATGATGGGATGTGAAGGTGATATAGCATGCATTACTTTAGATTGTCAATAGGATGATAATCCTAATTTCTCCTTTGTGTTCATGATGCCTTGATAAATTAATCTGGAAATATGAAAATCTATCATCTTGGTTTCTTTCAGTAGTTAATTCTTTTAATACAGCCTTGTTCTTTCTTTTTCTTTTTCAGTTTTCTTTTTGGGCCTTAAAATTTTTATGGTGTAAAATTATGAGTCATAAGTTCTTGAAAACATCAGTTCTCAGTTTGATTCTAGAACACATAAATGATTGCTCAGAGGGATTTTGCCTAGAAAGGTTGGTTTGTATAGAAGCAGAGGCGGGGCTGTGTTGAGTGATATGTTCTAAACGAGGAGATGTTTGTGGCAAAGAAGATGGTGAATGTTATTGTAAGATATAGCTTCGACTCGTATCCCGTCTGGATGCTGGCTATGTGCTTGTGAGAGGGTGCAGACCCTTCAGAAATTCTTGATGTATTTTGAGCAGTATAAGCAGATGACTGTCTTGATTATATTTGGATATCTACTTTCAGCTTATTTATCTTTCACATGAAGAGGTTAGATTGGATATAAAAATAATCAATCAAGGTGTCTTACATGATCTAGGAAGATGTTTGGGTCTACATCCAAAGTATCATATTAACATGACAAGATGGTTTCCCTAATAGGGGTTCATTATTTACCCTGTGATTGGCAGAGTACAAAAAGAGGAAGCACTAAAAGTTCGTGTGTTAAAGGCAAGTGAAGCTGGTGAAAAAGAAAAGGTAATGTCCTTGCGTGTTGATGCTCTTTTGGTCTTTTCTTCTCAGTAAGTGCTGAACTACCTAGGCATTGTACTCATTTATTATCATATGATGCATCATGGTATGGATTTCAAATGTGCTTGTTACAAGCTCAACTTAATAGTTGATTAGATAGTTTAATTAGAAAGGAAATTTCTTCTATGAGCTAAGGAACAGAAAGATAAGAAAAATTAACGATGTTATTTCTTTCTTGTGGAATAGCCCTCTCATTTCTGCAATCATTTAATTCTGTGGATGCCTCTCTTTCTATTTGAACAGTCAGTTACACTGTGCTTGACTGGTTTTGCTGAAGTGGTGGAGAACTGTTGTGGCTGAAATCTTTTTGCATTCAGGAAACCGCTCTGAAAATTTTCTTTTGCTATACTTTCTGTTAAATTTTTTGTTTTCTTCATGTGTTTCTTGCTTAATGGTACTGCACAATCATATATACATTATTGAGTCTTGTATAAAGCGATTATGTCTATTTACTGATACTATGTGTTGTTTTCATTAAATTTCAAGTTATATCTAACCATTGTATGTTATTTACTATGAATTTTGTGTTCGTGGGGTACTTGAGTTTTATTTTAATGTTTGTTTCCAGGAATTATCAGCTGAGATTGCAGAACTTGAAAAAGAAAGAGATCATCTTGAAGCTGAACTAAAAAAGGTCTCTCTTTCTCTCTTTCTCTTTGTCACATTTAGTTGTGGTTATGTAAAGTATATGTTAAGGGTGCATGTTTCTTTTCAGAAAATATGAATGTGGTGCCATCTCTAATTCATTTTCTTTGTGCTGTATTGTAAATTTACTAGTGTTGCAATATGGTACTTGTGAGATAAACAGTTTGATAGGCCTCCTATAACCAAAGTATACAAAAAGAAGAGAAAGGGCAGCAGGGGAAATTCACTGGACAGGGGCAGCAAAGGAAATGCAGTTTAAATCAGTTAGGAAGAATCTCCACGTAAGGGCAGTGCGAAAAGTGTGAGTTCAGCAGTATTTAAGAGAGAACAAATTGTAAGCTGAGGAGGATGAAATCTGGAATCAAGGGAGGCTGCTAGACCCTCGAAGTGCTAGCCAACTTTTAACTTTTCTTTGTCATTTACTTTTGCTGTTGCAGTGTTAACCATTCCCAATCTGTATATGAGAATTTCGGTTGTTTTGTGTTACAGAGCAGGGTTGTCTTATTGAATTTCCTTAATAATATTTGGTTGAGTTGTGTGATTTCCTGGTGATTCCATCACAGTTTCATCTCATTCTGCCGGATTATGTTTTCTTTATCATCTGCTGCATGAAATGCAGTGAGCAGGTGCTCTAAAATGTTATTGTTTTACTAATTCTGATGTGCATACAGTTGTTGTGGAACCATCTGAATGATGTAAATCTTAAATAGTGCAAGGGCTTTAAGACTTCCATTTAGTTCATGATTCCTGCCTACAGTGAATATAACTTAGATGAACTGTATGGATTTTGTAACCTTTACCATTTTAGTTCCAAAGATGTTTGAAACTATATTGTGGAGGGACTGTTCAAGTAATCTTGTAGTTCATGAGCCTTGAGTGTAGGTGCATCTGTTTACTTTGTTGCCAGTCAGAGCCGGTGACATCCTGTTGATGACTCGATTAGTTCATTGGTTGTGAACAGTTTAAGATTGGTCTATGTGGTGTAGGTTAATATTACTTTGGCTGCTGCTCAAGCACGCCTTCGCAATGCCAAGGAAGAGAGGGAACAATTTGATGAAGCTAACAATCAGATTGTTGAGCACTTGAAAACAAAGGTTGGATGCTTCTCTTGGGATTTCTTTTGGAATCCTAATAAGTTAACGTTTAGAGATTACTCCACAGTATACTTTTTCTGGCCCCTCTTATCAGTCAAATATCCGAATAATGATTTTCTAATTTTTTGTGCTTTGTAGGAAGATGAGCTCTTGAAATCCATTGCTGCATGTAGGGTAGAAGCAGATGTGCTCAATACATGGATTAATTTTTTGGAAGACACTTGGGTTCTCCAATGCTCTAATGCAGAAATTAAGGATAAGCAGGTCAAGTATGTACTTTGACCTATTTTCTTAACATTTATATAACTTAAGAGGATGAACATTATGAGATATGCTCTTATTTCTTTCTTGTCTGCTTTTTAAAATGACTTACTTTTTGGTTAATACTTACTGCTGTTTTACACTTTCAAGTGATGAGTTGGACAAGCATGAGGACTATTTTGTGAAGTTGGCCATTTCCCTGCTCTCTGCTTACAAGGTATTTGATTATATTTTTTTCTAAAGAATTTTTATCCTGAAATTGCAGCTGCTTTTGTTTTTTTTTTAACTCTCTCTCTCTCTCTTTCTCATGTTTTCTTTTTTGGTTGCAACCATGTGTATTTATGCAGAAAGAGTTGGGGCCTTCTATTGTTCGCATTGAAAAATTTGTGGAGAACCTAAAGAATTTGAAAGAAGGGTAATGGCATTCTGTTTGCACTGGAATGGTTCTCACAATTACGAAGTTATTTAATTTTTTTTCACTGGTTGAAGCAGGTCCGAGGAGGAATCTAGGAATGAGGATTCAAAGGAACTGAACCCTAGGAAAAATCTTGAAGAGGAATATCTAAACTATGAAGCCAAGGTAGAAATATGTATTTTCAGTGCTTAAGTTCAAATGTGTGTATAAGAGTTCGCTTTTTATCATGTTATGATTTGTTAGTATGTTTGCAAGACCTCATCCTCTTTCTTTCACCACCTTTAGGGTCTACTATCTTTTCACCATCTTAAGTTCATCAATGGGTATTTTCATCAAGATTTCATGTCAAAAAAAATTTTAGAACTTATTTTTAAGTTCTTCGATGGTTTTCTATCCTTTTTTTAACATTTTTTTGGTAAATTTTTTTATTCTAGTTTAATTACAAAAGAATTTGAATTTAAAATATATAGGCATTTTTTTTTTTCATTCTTTACTGGTGTAGACATGTCTGCTGACTTTTATGTTTCCTGTGTACGTGGATTTGTTGCTTTCTTTCAGATCATAACCACCTTCAGTGTGATAGATAACATGAAAGAGCAATTTTATGCTCAACGGGAAATAAATTCCAGGTCTGATATTCTAGTTGTGTTCATTCCTTTGTTTCTTATACATGGTTGTTGCTGTATTCCATTTGACGGGGATACTCACAACCCTCCCTTTTTGATCCAGGAAAGATGATGCTAGGGTTAAAGAGTTATTTGATGATATTGAGAAGTTGCGACAGGAATTTGAATCTATTGATAGACCGAATTTGGAATTGGAGAATCCGACACCAAAAGCTGATGCTCCGGCTGATGCTCCATTCAATGAGAAACCACCAGGAAGTCCCTCCGATACCACTGCACAAGGAATCACTACTGTAAAACCCAAGATAAATGAGCATCCCGAGAAATCTGCCGTTAAGGCAGAGCAGGTGCTGGACCATGAAGCCGAGTTGGCAAAGTTAGAGTCCGAGTTTGGGAAGGTTGGTCAAGACTACTCAGGAGAAGAAATTGGTGACTGGGAGTTCGATGAGCTTGAAAGGGAGTTCAAAACTGAAGGTTCAGCAGCAAGCAAATAGCTCAATTCGCTCAGTCAAATTAGTGATTATTAATATTGAAGTCTAATAAACAAAGCATGCATAAACATGCTATAAATTTGTATCTGACCTCTCCAGAAGCTGCGTTTTTAGATCACAGGCTTTTTTGTAACTTCTATGTAACATTGTATGGAATGTTGATTTATTGATTCTTCTGTAAATTCTCAAAGTTGTATGTTGTAATGTGGAATTGATGAAACAAATGAATGAAAGGGCTTTATATAAATGGACGTGGCTGCTGAATCTTAACAGTTTGATTGATATTTCTTTTGCTTGAATCACAGGCATACACCTTCTTGTTCGTTGTAGGAGTTTGGTGTGTGAATTATTTTGCAAAATTTCTGCCTATTGGTTGAATGGCAAGTGACCTTTGAGCGAGAAAATCGCCATTTCTTTGCTTGTAAGTGGAGGATGAGCTGCTGATATTGAAAGGGGACCCTCATGCTTCCTTGCAAAGGAATGAAGGAACCAAAGTACAGAATTTGTGGTTCAGATTTTGGTTATTTTGAATCCAAGGAGAAATTGTTAAAGACTTGATCAAGTGGTGGTCTCCCGATAAGGAAGTTGAAATATGTTTTGTCTTTAAAGGAGCATCATCATTGTGCAGTGGCTCTTATGCTTTCAACACAAGGGTACATAAACTAGTGGGCTGGAAGCCTCCAATCTGTAATCGCTTCAAAAGGCAGCTTTCTGAAATATGACTTCACCAAAAGTTTTTGCTTGGAACTGTTGTTGCAATTTCTACTTTTGTCAAATGCTGGTGGGCTTCCCGGCAAAGTTGCCCCCAGAAGTTTCTTCCTTGTTGATTCTTCAACCAATCGAAGAACTTATGCATCCTGATTTTCTGGGTGGTGGGTCATTGGATTGAAACACTTATGGCTATCCTTTGCCTATACTGGAAGAAATTATTGCCCCAGCCATATATTAATCCAATATCTCATTTAAGAGATTGTAATATGAAAGCTACAACAGAGGTGGGCATTGGATTTGGATGTTACAAATATAACGAAACTTCTTAATTGATGGTTACTCCTGTGTTGATTTTGAAAGATATTTGTCAAGAAAGAAAAACAAAGTGGTTTAGAAGATAAGGAATTGTTTAGCTATGGTGGGGAATCTAGTGAAGCTACAAGATTATAATTACTCAGCAACATAAAAGAAACTTTAAAGGAAACCAACAAACGGTGAGTGAAGATTAATTATTATTTGTCGACATAAAAATTATTTCAAGGAAACAAACAAATGACAAGTAAGTTCACGATACATTAGATAAATGAGTTTGACGTATAAATGACATGATATGTTTATCGTAATTATATTATTCTGTAAGTAGTCTGCGGACGTGTGGTTTCAGGCTTTCAGCCAAACAAAAGGCAAATATATTGAATCATTGTGTCCATTACTGTACTGCACAGCTATACTCCTATTTAGAAGAATATAGTTATAGTAAAAAGTCTGTACTATCAGGAACTTTTGGAGCTTCTTTACTTTCTTCACTCAATTGCAGAGGACAATATATATAATTCATTCATGAACTACGTTTTCAACAATCCACATGTGTATGCAGAAGAAACTCATCCTCATCCATTGCATACTGAAATTAGGGTCAAAGTTTAGCATGCATGCATGGAAGATTTTATGTAGTCAGAGCTTTGTGCTAGCAATACACGTGACATGAAGATACCTTGAACACGGCTAAAAATACTTTGTCAAGAGTGCTTCAAGAAACAGTGTTCGATGTGTTTTCTTATGCTTGTTTCAGAATACAAAGCTATAGCAAACTGTTTTCCGTTTTGGGTTTGAATTAGTGATTGAAAAGAAAGAAGAGAATCAAGAGCTTGAAATTTTATAAAGATGGGGGGAGTGTGTTAAAAGAGAAGACAAAAAAAAAAAAAAACTTAAGACTCGAGCTTTGTAGACATCCCATCCACAATTCCTTTAAACCCACCAAGAAATGTCGGATCATCATGTGTTGTTTTCAAATGAAATCAACAACTCATTCACCTCTCATCACTTCTTTTAATCATATGTCATTTTTAGATTAAACAAGAATCGGAAAAAGAAAGCAAAAAAGATGGACACGTGTGATTTGTGTTCATCAGTTCAAATGAGACAATCATGGGGAGTTTTTCTCAATAAACAAATCAACAAAAGATAGTTAAAAAAAAAAAAAAAAAACCCAGGAATCCAGTAAAAGTAGTAAAACCAGGTAAAGTATGTAAAGTGATTAGTTTAGCTATTTTTCTACTAGTGAAAAATGGAACTTTTTCCCAAGTTCGTTTCTTTTATTAGTCATGGGGGATAGAGATGGAACACAATTAATAACAATAATCCAGATGAGATTGCAGAAAACCAGGTTTTGAGATCTGGGCTGCTTTCAAATTTTAAGTCTGGTTACCAGAAATATCAAATTATTTTCCTGTGTGCATGATCTTTTTATAAGCCATTAACTAATGGAATAGAAAATATTATCAGGATGCGGGGCTTCTGTTTCTTTTACCATAAACTAATCACTTTCACCAATTTTGATGCTGGTTTAATTAACATTAAAATGAGCACGAGAAATTGGGGACCAGTTTTGGGATATTATTTTATTTGTGATACTACTTAAACACATCCCACTATAGCTATACAGCTGAATATTTCTTATTCAAATTGTGCTTCCAAAATCATATCCTGTGTTTAATCATTCAAGAGATGATAATCAAACTATATTAATGATGGTGTTAACGAATAATCAAGTCTTAATGATGTATTACTGAATAATTAACTTTCCAAAACTGTTTATCATGATCAACTCACCTCACTTATTCTATTTGAAGCGAAAGAAAAAAAGAATAGATGGGTTGGTAAAATCTAATATTTGTTACATGAAAAGCAATGAAAAATGAACCACAAAAATTTTTAAGTCTTCAAGAAAATAAAAGAAATGCAGAAATGGGACAGTGTTGGGCCATTTGAAAAGAATTCCCATCATGTTTCTGTATTTTATATTTGGAAGCATTCAACATTCTGACAATAACATTTTCCCACGCACTTTAAAGGGGTGCTCTTCCCTTCATTTCTTTCATCACAAACCTCCATAAACCATAGAGGAGAAACATCTTATCTTCTCAACACTCTTGAGTTTTTGAAATGGCTGTGAACCTTCTATCTTATGACAATGCAGATGACGATTACATTGATATGGAAGTAAGCTCATACACCAATTTCTTTAGAAACTCCATGGCCATGAACTCTCCTCCTCACACGAGGGAGTTTGAGTTCCAGATGTCTTCAACTTGTCATGAGAGGGAACCTTCAACTTCTCCTGCTGATGAGCTTTTTTACAAAGGGAAACTCCTTCCTCTTCACCTTCCGCCGCGTCTGCAAATGGTCGAAAAACTCCTTGAGAACACAAATTGTGTTTATGACAACACAAAAGATGCATTTGATCAAGATTTCTTTAGCACTCCTTTGGCCACTACCCTCACCACACCAACTACAACTAGTACCCCATTTGAGTCCTGCAATATTTCACCGTCTGAATCTTGTCAGGTTAGTCGAGAGCTGAATCCGAATGAGTACTTCTTCGAGTACTCAACCGATGAAGTTAGTGGTTTTATTGGCGAAAATCAGAAGAAGTCCTGGACTAAAAAGCTGAAGCTGATCAAACAATCTGCAATTGGTTCAAAGTTGAAGGCCTCCAAGGCTTATTTCAAGTCATTGTTTGGTAAATCCGGTTGCTCTGATGAGTCCTGTACGGCTGCCACAAAAGTTTCAAGTGAAGGACAGGTTTCAAAGGCTAAGGAGTGTTTAAATAATTATGTGAATGTGGCAAAGAAAAATCCATTCGGTCAAATTCAGAAGGGTAAATACCAAACTTCGGGTGGTCTAATGAGAAGTTTCGACAAAGGAAAGATTACTGAAGATAGTGCAAATTGCCATAGGAGATCATTCTCAATGGTTATCAAGCGGCACTCAACAAACAAGTCCTCATCTTCTTCATCATCATCCGGCTCTTCTTCGTCTTCAAGTTCTAACGACACTAACGGGTTCCATGAGCTCCAATTTCTCAAGAGAAGTAGCAGCAGTGCTTATTCAGAGTTTGAGAATTCTGTCCAGGGAGCAATTGCACATTGCAAACAGTCTCAGCAGCTATTCCATACCAGAAAGACTTTAAGCGACGTTGGGTTTCATTCATTTTCAGCTTCCAGGATTACAGTTAGTGATGATCAAGAAAGACAAGACCTTGGCAGGGGCTAAAACAAGAACAAAGTTCAAATTTTTTTACCCATGTGCTCCAATTTTCTTCTTTCGTAATTTTGATAATGGATATGCTTTGATTCAGAGAAAAAAAAATATTATCCATGATGTCCTGGATTGTTAGACCTGTTCATCCTGCAGAAGATTCTGAAAAAGCCCAATAAAATTCTTTTTCTTTTACTAGCATAATAAGTGTTTATGAATGAAAGTACATCCTAAAAGTAACAACTTAAAACTTTCAAATCAGGAATCTATCAACAATTTACTAGTCATTTTCTGAGGCAAGAAACTGTGAGTCCAACAATTATAAAGTCATTTGGAATTTTCTTCACACTTATCCTTTCTGCCAGCAACAGGAATCTGTTTTGGCTAATTTGAAATTTCTCAGGAATATGATACAGAATTTGGTACCAATAATAGAAGTATAGTACACTGTTTGCCCTGGAACTGTTCAAGATTGTTGCCTATATTTCCTTTTATCTAATGACCAAGAAATTGAATTTTACATTTTCTAAGATTGATCTTTGACAGTTGGCAGATTCCTTCCTTGTCTCGAATTAAGAGATTGAGAAAAAGAAAGAATTTTCCGGACAGGACTCCAGGATTCCAGAGAGCTATCCTGATGCAATTAAAGAGATTGTTCAAACAAGTCAAAACCACTGCCTAATTTTTGCCTTTGTTTCCAAATGATAATAAGAAAATAATAATAATAATAATAATAGTGATTACCATCACATATTAACAAAAATTTTACAATGCTTACCTGTAAAGTGTAGATGAATCTCCCTTGTCATCAAGTCAATGAGCCGACATGGCTCCCCTGATTTTTATTTATGTTTATAATTCCAAAGTAACACAAATTAGGCAAAGACGATGATGATTATGTTCGAGCCAATCATCGGATAACAGAATTAATAATAAACACATAAAATTTTAATAGCAAAAACCAACTTGTCAACTCAACTACTTCTTAGCTTTGGATGGTTGAATGGTTTGATAGGGATAGAAAATCCTGAATATATTATTCAAGAGGTTTTGAGTTTGGGTTCCTTTTTAGATGTTAATAAGAGTGGTCATTGAAACTTTTACTCGAACTATAGTTTCAAGATCCCGAAAGATTAATTAAAGTACACATAAACTGATCTAGACAACTCCGTTCATCAACCCAAAAAAAAAAAAAAACCCAACTTATCTGCCTCTTAAGAGAAGCAAAGGGACATTTGAATATGTCAAAAAAGGTTAAAAATAAGGAAAACGATTCTTGGATCAAACAAATAAAACGTTTTCTTTTAACTAAGCAGTAAGAAATGAATGAACCAGGGCCCTCTGGTACATGCACATTTGCACTATTGAATGAAGAATAAAATAATGTGCAAAACGAAATCTTCAAATGCAGACATACAGCCTTTCAGGTGGCCGCTTTTCTTTCTTTAGATTAGATTTTCCTAGTGGGTGTAACTCAACCTTAAACTAAGTAACAATGTCTGTCAGAATTTTGACAGGATTAGAAACCAAATTGAAAAGAAGAAAAGAAAGTAGTTAAAAGGCTATTTTGGTTGTTGTTGAGCACTGAGGGAGAACTCATAAAACATATAACTAAAAAAAAGAAAAAAAAGGAAAAAGTAAACCCTTTTGTTTTTATTTTTTTCCCACCCAACTTTTATGGATGACAAACTCAAATACCAGCTGGAATACTCAATTACATTCTTCATACTTAGAATTTTCAAGTGGCCCCAAAATTTTGTATAATAAAACTAATATGGGTTCAAAATGATCAGTTCATTTGAAGCTCTTTTGGCTTGCCATAGATGATCTAATTTAGATAAAAACGTGAGATAATTGTATTTATCTCCCAGGGTTTGGGTCTATGAAGTATATATCCTGCTGTTACAGTTTAAACTATTAGGATAGACTCGTTTGATTTTGATATACGTTAACCTATATAAAGAGAGAATGAATAATTCACTCGTACACATAAAGGCAGAATAGATAATTCACTCATTTTAGTATAAAAAATGTTATTTCGAAGTTCGGATTTGATTAAAGTTGTTAGTTTGAGGGGGGTATTTTCCAGTATTTGAAAGGTACAGTGGATATAGTCTTCCTCTCTATAAATGTTGATATTCTAACATATAGTCATTGTATCTAATAATCAAAGATCTCACTTTTTGTGATATCAGTACCTGATTCTACAATTATGCAATGAAGAAATCATGTTCTATATATTGCCAGTCATGTGTACTACTCAATGAAAAAGAGATCCTATGATTCTATACTCAACAAGAAAATGACAACAGTGGTGTGAGTGTTGTACTTGTAACTTGTAAGAGATTTTGCTTTGCTTAGAAGGGAAAACAAAAAATATTTTTAAGGATCATCTATCTAAATGAATCCAGCTTCCCTCAAATCACACAAATTTTTACACTATTCATTGTATCATATTAACAATATAGAAATAAGCTACACAAATCAGAGATTGTGACAAATATTTTCTGGGACTTTGGGGTTGTATGTCAAAATCTCTTTTTATGAATGTTATTTTTATTTTGGAAAAAGTAGATTTTTAGTTTTTTTTTTTGTTCTAAGCTTAAAAGTGCTTTTTATTAAACTGTTGTCAGTACTTTTCAAAAAGACTTATTTTTACTCAAATACTACAAGGATATATATGTGTCAAAAGCGTATCTATATCGTCAAAACTATCATTTGTAATTCTTTTTTTTTTTTTTTTTTTTGTGATCGAGAATGTCTTAACCAACTTGCATATATTTCAACTAATCTCCAAAAATCCTGACTGAATAAATCCCCTCAATCGCCTTTATAATTTCTTGTTGAAATTTATATAAACCATTTGAGTTATATGTGCTCTTTATTAAAGCAGTTTTATGAAAAGCCTAAAATATAATTCTCAACTAAAAGCCTCTAGCACTTGGGCTAAACATCCAGTTTTGTTTAGACAGTCCAATACTCGCAAAAGCTCAAAAGGCCCATCTTATTTTAAATTCTCCTCATTATTTTAAATTTCTAATTTTGGTCTTATCTGTTTGAGATTAAACTTAAATGAATATCATCACCCAAATTGATTTTGTTCTTCAGCATCATTTTGACGGTTTTTTTTTTTTTTTTTTTTTGGGCCAAAGGTTAGATACACCATAGTCTAATAAATTGATACCCTTACCAAGTTATAATTATTCCATTTGCAATACATTAGATAGTTATCCATAAGCCTAAATCATGCCCTTATCGTTTAAATTATAGATTTTTTTTTTTTGTCTGCCTGCCATGGATTATGATTAGATTGATTTTTAATATTATATAGGGTTCGGATCAGCATTGATAATTTTCAAGTGGAAGAGCATATATTTTGTACTCCAATTATTGTTTCATTTCTTTGTGTACAGCCGTCTTGGTGGAGCCATTTCGCATTTGAATTATTACATCTTCCATGTTCATTCTTCAGGCCAGATTAAAAGCACTGGTGCCCAAGCTGGTCAAATTTTGCATGTCAATGGAGCATTGTCTATGCATTTTCTGATACTTGTCCAGCGCCAGAGGATGTCCCTTTCCAGGGCATATTTTATCAAAGAATGATGAAGAAAATATTGGGTACCCCATTTATCAATTTTGCTTATTTTCCATTAGACAATAAGAACATTGCTGGAGATATGTCACAACAATTCCATACAGTTACTGTGCATATATGTTTCAGAAACATATATTCTGACTTACAAATATTCATTCCAGAGCAATTCCAGGCACAACCCATCTCCCAGTATCAGCTTCATCTGATGTACTATTTGATCTGGGAAACAGATGCTGAATCACAAGATTATGATCAACAATGCATCAGAATCAGGAACAATACCACAACCACAACCACGGCCAACTTCCTTTTCCCATCCGAGAACTTATAGCTTTCCTCTACGTACATATATACTAAGCATACTAAGCAACGTCCTACTTTTCTCCTTTCTCAGCTAAAGTAGGCGCAACATTTGCAATTCTGAGTTTGGTAGTCTGTTGCAGGAATGTAGGGAATAGGCAAAGCACACGGAAAAATTAGCCATATCAGATATATTATGCTTAATGTGAACTTCTATATTATTAAGCAAGTGATGCCTCAACATCTTTTTCATACATGTTTGATTACATCGCTCTATTCTCTACAACCATAAATATTCTTAAATGTTACAGGTCCACACTCAGAGAGCATAAATTCGATCGATTTCAGAATTGGAGAAGTCAGAGTGCGGCCATGAGTTGGATCCGCTTCTAAATCTTGCAGACTTCTCTCTCTTCCTTATTGATCGAGTCCTCTTAGATTTCACTACATAGTAAGTCATGGTGCCAAGAACCCCAGCCATTATCAATCCCCCGACAAGTGTCACCAAAATTGCTGCCCACTCATGTCGCCGACCAACGACTATGTATGAAGACGCCATAAATGCCACGGAGGTGCAAACAGAAGCCAACCACATCAACTTGTTAATCACCTCCACCACTCGTTTCTCTGCTTTCGTCTCGCCTCTGACTAGTGTAATTTGGACAACGACAACAGCCAAAGATGTAAAGAGCGCAATTGCATTAAAAATAAAAAAGATCTTGAAAGAGGCACTGTGCACCACCACAGCCATTCCATCATCATGATCCCCACCGGGCACAGTAAATATTGCTGCAAAAGCAACTGTGGCAAATAGTACAGCCACAACAGTTACTGAATTGGTGGCATTGTTGATCCCTTCCCGATGGAGTTTCCTGAGTTCTTTAGAAATATTACTAACATTTTTGTTGGTTCTTCTGGTTTGTTCTAACTGAGTGTGAACATCTTTCTTGATCTGAGTCACGGTTTTCCTCAACTCGTCCCTGGGCTGGTTCAGTTCATTAGCTCTGACAGCACCATAGCGAGAAAGGCAGTCCTTTATTTCTGAGGCTTCTTCAGATAGGGGAAGCTCTTCAGCTATGTCAAGAGCTGTTTTGTGGTCTCTGGTTAGTGCATTAACATTGGTGTCAGGAAGGGATAACAGCTCACTCACGATCTGCAAGAAAACAGGAAGTTCAATACAAAGGTGGTTTTAATATAAATTTCTAGAGATGCTTCCATATATTAATGGATTCATGGACACGTAAAACTGAGACCTAATAACAGTGCTGTTCTACACATCCTACATCTGCCAGAAAAAGTGCAGGTCAAACAAATCCAATTTGATACATTCAGGCGAAAGAAGCAAATTTAATCCTTTTAGTTAACTGATTTGATTATATGTGTGCATACAACTCTGATTTCAATTTACATCATTACTCCATTAAATAAATATGAGAATCATTAAACATTCAGAAGGGATGCAGAAAATGGACATCTGAAAGAACAAAATCTAAAGATAAGCATGCAGCATTAAATAGAGGCACCGCTTCTAGTTTTAAAAGAAAGAAAAAGAAAATAAATACCTCAGCTCGCTTTTTCCTGGTGGCTACATGTAATGCAGTGTTACCAAACTTGTCTGGAAGCATTACGATAGCAGCATCAGCCTCAAGAAGCAGTTTCACCACCTCACAGCTCTGTCCTTTTACAGCCATGTGAAGTGCAGTCTGCCCTTTCTTATCAGTCCTTCGGGCCAATTGTGCATCTTTGTTGAGTAATGCTCTCACTATTTCTACATGGCCTGGTCTGGCAGCTAGATGCAATGCATTTTTCCCATTGGATCTAGCTATCTCTAATAAGCTACTATCCTTTGACAGCAATTCATTGACTACAGCTGCATGTCCTCTTGTAGCTGCAGATATAAGCGGCGTTGCATTTGATGGGCCAAATGTTCGGCTTAAGCTGGGATCATGATCTAGTAACACTTGGACAATTGCTGCAACAAAAAGAAAAATTATTAGTATGAAGCCCCAGTCTTGTAGGAACATAAAGTGTTGCAACCAGTAATGTTTCTCACAAATGTTAAGAAAAACCATAACCACAGTCCTTGAAAAAGAACCAAGGACAAAAAGAACATCTAAACTCCACTAGTAGATGACCACATATCAGTAGAAAGCCACTTTCGCACATTTTCTAATTTTTAATTATAATCTGATCTCCATAACAAGTGAATATAATAACTCATAACTTTGATTGTAACATAGCAATCAGCAACCTCTACTTTAATAATTGCATTTGAAGAGATATCTCTTATGAATTTTCATAACAGAACAACAATCTCTCCCCCATTAACCATTAAGCTACTTATCATAACTGATAAGCAAATAACTGTTTAATTTTTAAATGTAAAAAACCAGCTATTACCTTATTGTTTAGAATACTAAACTCTTTATGACAAAGTTAAAGCTCAAGGCACAATTAAACCTTTCAACCTTATGCTATTTTAGAATACTCAAGCTTGCCACGATAAAGAAAAAGCATGAAATCAACATAATTACCATGATGCCCTTGGATCGCAGCAATATGCAAGGGATCAAGATTGGACTTATTTTTCCTTGTAAGACCCTCTTTGGACGAATACTTCAACAACTCCTTCACAACTTGTATATGCCCTTTATCAGCAGCTGTAAACAGTGCAGTTTCCCCCAACTCATTCACCTCATTCACAATTGACGCCCTTATCTCTGCAACTTCTGTATCAAAATCATCCCCACTTAAGGTCCCCACCATTTGGGAATCTATTTCAGCAAGAATCTGTTTAACTGCTCCTAAATCTCCGCGCTGAGCTATCAAATGCAGCTCAGTGTCGTTGTGACGACCCGTCACTTGTTTCACATACTTCTTTTTTCCTGCTTGGTCTATGCGTTTCCCTGAGTTGGAAAGGACCAAAGCTGGTGCTGTTGCTGAAGAAGGTGAAGGGGATGGCGAAAGCGAAGGCGTAGGTGATGGCGTCAGTGAAGGCTCCCAAAGAGAGTTTTGACTCAACTGTGGAGTCATTTGTCCTTTTTCAAGATCTCTCCCAGCTCCTGAAAACAATCATCACAGTTGATCAAGAATTACACAAAGTAACTACTCCAGAGCTTGTTATTATCGATCAATCACAACACCAATAATTTTATTAGGCTCATATTATTGTTGTCTTTTACTATAAACTCTGAAAACTTCCAGACCCAATTAACCAAGTTGAACTAGAGACAGCTAATTTTACAATCAAATAAACTCTTAACGTTTCTTTAGCTCAAAACTAATCAATCATATGATCTTATAAGCACTCAAACCTTTTTTATAGCTCCAATCAAGATCTTTTTTCTCAATCAATTAGACAATCAACAAGAAAATACCCACGAGTCTAATTAAAGAAAATATCTTCTTAATACTATTTACAGCAACAAAATTAAATTCTAGATCAGAAACTTCAATCATAGTATATATTTATTATTTTTTCATCTTAAAAAATAGAAATGATAGATTCTTCACCTAGATTCACGTTAACTACAATCAGAATATGTAAAAGACTCTTTAATTGAAAAAAACAAAAAAATTAATTGATGGGCATCGAGTCTTTTACCTTCCTCAATAGACGAAGCCATAGTTGAGTACCAAAAGGAAATGTAAAAAGTAAACTAAGAGATCACTGAAGAGAGGAATGAAAGTCGAAAGGAAGCTGAAAAGAAGAAGAAGAAGAAGAGTGAAGAAAAAGAGGATTAAATTACACTGATAAGGGAAGAGAAAGAGAAAGAGGAGAGAGAAGGAAAGGAAAGTGGGAGGAAGGAAGGGTGGTGGAATAGTTGAGTCGTGAATGTGAAGTGTTTGTCGAAAGGCGGAAAAGAGCTTTTGGATTTTTGTCATAATTTATCTTTGTTATTCTTCTTCCCACGTCAACCACTCGACCAAATACTTTTGTATTGACTCATTACTTAATATTATTTTTAATTTTACGATTTGCCAGCCGCCAGTAATTAGGAAAATAAAATCACATGAAGTGGCCGTTTGGATAGGGTTAATATTAAGTAATTGGGAGAATATTTTTTAAATTGAGTAGATGATGATGTTTGGTTAGTTGGTTGGTTTGTAAAAAATTATTACCAAAATATTTTCTGATAAACAGTAATATTTGAGGGGTAAATTTTTGATATTCTTAATACCGGCCGGGGGGTGCTGTTATTAAAACTTACTCTGGTATTACAATTTTTTTTTTCCCATATCCCCTAAACAGTTGACCATTTGGTCCAAATAATATTTGCAAAACACTCAATCACTTATGCAGACATTTTTTTCTTCGCTTTTTAATTTTTTCGGATGACATTGCCCTTGTTATTATCATTATTTACAGAAATGTCATTATACCTAAAATGAGCCACCACCGGCAGCCACTGTCGACCGCTGCCAGAGAATGTCAAAAGTCGCTATAATGGCAAACGAATGGTCGTGCACTGGTGAGGCTTTTTTCGACCATGGATCACAAACCATGGATCATAGATCCATGGTCGGAAAAAGCCAAGTCTGGCTGTTTCACGGCCACATCGTTGGCCGATGTGGCTGTGAAACAACAATTGATCTGGTTGTGAAACAGCCAAGTCTTTGGCCGTGAAACAGTCGGTGTTTCACTGCTAAAGACTTGGCCATTTCACGATCAGATTTGTGGCCGTTTCACGGCTACATATCTGGCTGTGAAACAGCCAGATCTGTGGCATTGTTGGTGTCACGACTAGATTTGTGGCACTGCGAGTGGTGGTGGTTGGCTGCCGACAGTGGCTTGGGGTGGGTAGGGGTGTTTTTGTTAAGTTTAAAACGTTTTTGGTTGCTAGGGTGTTTTTGCTAAATCTGAAAAGTAGGGGGTTGAGAGAATATTCAAAAAATAATAATAAAAATTCTTGTTATATTAATATTTAAAAGAGAGAGCAATTTAGTAATCTATATAACATATTCACTCATTTATCCTCCCAATCAAACATATTATTCACCAATTTATTCGAACCAACTAAACACTTTTTCTAAACATTCTCAGTAATCTTCAAGGTGGTCTTTTATTTCGTTAATATAATATCTCCCTATAATAAAACATTATATGATCCAAACGCCTCGAAAGTATTAGGTTTTATTTAATCATATGATTAGGTTTGCATTTTCTCTTCTATAAATTGAGTCGAACAAGTTTTATAAATAAATATTTTTAGTTCCAATTTTGTTAAATCTGAAAAGTAATTGCATTTTGTTGACTAACAATCAATTTATAAAATTTAACTTATGGGTTTCACAATACTATTAATTAGTAATTAAATCTAGAGTATGTCAACTCTCATGTAGTATTTTTACTTACTTTAAAGTAAACTATTAATGTTAGTTAAGTATGGTGATGGGCGAATCTCTTTATCAATGAAATTTTATATTTGGGAATAAAATTTTAGTCATACCAGAAAAAATACAAAAAAAAAAAAGAATCTATTTTCAGTGGATTGGCTGAATATTTAGAGAGGTTCGGGCTGACTGAGGGTAACAAATGAGTAGTGGCAAATACTCAGAAGAGTTTTGAAGATCCATAGGCTCACTTTTTTTGTTTGGGCTTATAGATAAAGTTATGTCTATATGCTTTGAAGATCCATAGGCTCACTTTTTTTGTTTGGGCTTTTAGATAAAGTTATGTCTATATGCCTCAGTTTAAATAGATAAATTGGGCTATTTGGGATTAATTAGATGAATTGGGCTATTTGGGATTAATTAGATGAATTGGGCTATCTGGGATTGACTGGATTGATTGGGCTCAAATAGATGATTGGGTTTTAATAGTTGATGTTTATACATGGTATCAAATGGCCAATTGGGGTTTAATGATACTGCAGAAACGGATCCCACAAAATCCGAGAAGAATATATTTAGAAGACGCGAAACTTGCAACTATATCTTGTTAGAGGCGTTCACAGAGGAACACCTCTCCAAAAATTGGCGTATGCCGCTTTCAGCGGCGAGCACACGGTATTCTTTAGTAAAAGGCGAAAGAATAGTTCGCTATGTGCTCACCGCACGGCTCCGTGTGTTTTATTTTTTTGTAACGTTTCTTTATATTTACACGGCTCTTACAGTAGTTCTCTTTCGGTATCGATGTGGGATCTGCGGTCTTGTAAAACTAGTCTCCTACTACTAGTTTACCACAGTAACTACACACGCTTTATCATCACTCACCGTCTAATTATTCACTAGCGTCTACTTCTCACTAGTTTTAATAAACAAAAATATTTGTCACAATTCAAAACTGATCATGAACGTCAAAGTATCTGCAACATAATTTAAATGAATACAAGAGACTATGTAATAGTAATGCACCTATATATTCAATGTTTAAAATACTGATCTATGGAAATCAGATATATATAAATTGGGTGTGTTTGTTTTAGTATTTTAAATAGTATTTTTGAAATATTATTGTTAAACTGAGTTAAGTTATTATTACGAGGTAACATTCGAAAATTAACAAAAAAACTCTTACGTTTGTTAATTTAACTAAACACTTCATTAATAAAAATTTTATAAATTAATAAAAATACTCACACCTACCCACAGGTGTTAGATTCTGGCTACCACCGTTGGAATCTTGCTATAAAATGCCATATCTATAGTCAACGGCTAGATCTGGCCGTTTTCCTTTTATTTAGGTTGCCTTGTCAATTCACTATATTTAAACCTCAAGAGCGATGGCAAACCTATCAAAACCCAAGCTTGGTTGCCTCATCTTTGAATCTTATTAACACAAGTACTGCAATTGATTTCAACAACTGACATACAATAAACTGATTGATATGTGGTTGCGCTTCTTTAACTATTTTCAAAATACTCTATTAAATACAGGTTTGTTTTCATATTCTCAAAATCATATACTAAAACTTTTTTAAATAATATTTGTTTTGTTAAGGATGTTTAGTTAAATTAATAAATATATAAAAGTTTAAATAGTTATGATTTTAAAAATAAAGAAACAAAAATGTATTTAATCTGAGTGTTTTGAAAATGATCAAAGAAGCGCAGCCATATATCAACCAGTTTGTTTGTATGTAGTTGTTGAATTCAATTGCCGTACTTGTATTAATAAGATTTATAGATGGGCCGAACGACTTGTGCATACCCAAGGTTTATCGTAACGATAAGTTGGTACTCAAAAGGTTTTGAAATGATAAATAGGTACCTTCCGTCATATTCGGTTAGTGATTTCTGTTTATTAATAGTGAAAAGACTAAAATACCCTTCAAAGTTTCAATTTTAGTTTTTTATAAATTTAAAAATTTCTAAAAAACCCCCTAGGTTTGCTAATTTAATTAAACACCTCCATACATAAAAAGTTTATTAAATGACAAAAACACCCCCACCACCCGCACTGCCAGATTCCGGCCACCATCGCCGGAATCTGGCCGGAAAACTGTATTACGACACAGAACCGTCGGATCTGTGTCGTAACATGCCGATCTGGCCTTTTCCGGTCAGATCAGCCACAGATCTGGCCGGAAAAGGCAAGATCTGGCCGTCAAAGCAGCAGCTAGATCTGGCCTTTTCCGGCCAGATCCGTGGCTGATCTGGCCAGAAAAGGCCAGATCTACTGCCAGATCTGGCCGTCGACGCCGCAGATGGAGTTTTGCGGCGTCGACGGCCAGATCTAGCCGTATATCTGGCCTTTTCCGACCAGATCAGCCACGGATCTGGCTGGAAAAGGCCAGATTGACGCGTTACGACACAGATCCGACGGGTCTGTGTCGTAACGCAATTTTTCGACCAGATTCCGGCGGTGGTGGCCGGAATCTAGCACTGCGGGTGGTGGGGGTTTTTTGGTTATTTTACAAAATTTTTATATATTGGGGTATTTAGTTAAATTTGTAAACCTAAGGGGTTGTTTAGAAATTTTTAAATTTATAAAAAACTAAAATTCAAACTTTTAAGGGTATTTTAGTCTTTTCACTATTAATAAACAGAAATCACTAACCAAACATGACGGAAGGTGCCTATTTGTGGTTTTAAAACTTTTTGGATACTAACTTATCATTATGATAAACCTTGGATACGTATAAGTCGTTCGCCTTTTAAAGATGGGGCAACCAAGCTAGGTTTTTGATATAATAGGTTTGCCATCGCCCTCGAGGTTTAAATACAGTGAATTGACAAGGCGGCCTAAATAGAAGTCAACCATGAAAGTGGACCGATCTTGATGTTTATTGACTGGCTGGATCAACAAATTAATGATAAACATAGAATTCGTTGGTTGTTGAATATTAATTGAGGCACCAAGAAATTTTATTATCATGATCAATGCATTCTGGTTAAGCAGGTAGCAACTGGCAAAAGTCTTACGTAAATAAGCCAAACATTTAATGGAGTTTAGAATATCTTTCCAAGCAAATTAGGGGTCCCTCCTTCCTATCAGTTACCAAAAGTCTAGTGTAATTAGAGCTGCTTTGAAAAACTTACTTAATACGTTTAAAAAAAAAAAAAAAACCAATACAATTTTATTTAAAAAAGATTAAAATGGCATTTTAGTTATTTGAAGCACTATAACAAATTTAATATATTAAGGAAAATTAATATCCTCTTAAGTCATAGATATACGTTGAGGCTTATATAAATTTCATATTGATAAAAGTATTTCTTATCGGAGTTATCGGCCACTTCAATAATAAGGGGTCACGCAAACATATTTGAGGATCCAATTAATTCTTAATTTGGTTTGGGTTTAGCAAAATTGATCGTTGTAATACAGTAAAACCTCTTTATATAAGGATGATAGTACAGAAATACAAAAAGTTTCATGTCAAGAAGCTTTAAAAATGCTTGAGAAGCTAGAAATATTTTGGCTTTAACAAGAAAATATTCATGCTTATGAGTAATGTATCCACAAGTTAAAAGATGTAATAACAACTCTAAAGCATAAATTATTGTCTCAAACAGCTTCAGATAAATATTTTATTTTATTTTAAACCTTTAATGTAACATACTATATTTTTTTTTTTCTAATATACATATGATTATTACTATGTGGAGGCAACTTTCCTTAAGATGGGAATTAGAAAAATTTTAACTTATTAAAATGTAGAATTTATTTTTATTTATAACTATCCGAAATTGGGAATATAAATTTTTATGACTATATAGAGTTTATTCCTATATAGAGTATCACTATAGAGAGATTTTACTATATTAGGTTTTACTCTTTAAACCTAGTATATAAACTTATTTTTCTTTTGGATAAGTGTGATAACAAATCATAAGGAAAATTACATTCATTATAACAAGAGAGGTGAGATAGTATTTAAATAATATTGACTTTATTGGACGTAGCATGTTAATTGGATGAACCAGAGTAAATCACACATATTTTTTTTTTCTCTTTACTTTTGTGTATTTACTGTTTTTGATTTGGTATTATTTTATATTGTTTCATTTCCATCATTGAAATATAATTTAAGATGAAAATTACCATATTTCATTAGTGACTCAAAACATGGGATATAAGACCATTTTATAGAATTTTCTTATAAGTTTTAATAGTTAATATATTATCGCTAATATATTATTCACTACTAAACTTAGGATGGACATGGTCACCCCAAATATAAGAGTTAATTTGCCTCTGATTACACAACAAATATTATAAAATTTTAAAAGTTGTGATATACATATATAGCAACTCAAAGATGTATAAGATTACAAACCGAAGTATTATAAAAATAAACACTGGTAGTTGGAATACAATTCATTGATGATAAATATTTTTTTTCTGCTGAATACAGATAATGTTTCCACGAACATAGAATAATATATCAGAAGTTTAACTTTATTGTCGTACTAAATGCAGCTTCAGAGAGTGGGGTTTTCTGCCAGCAGATCGACTGTGGTTGACCCCATCACCTGAGAAATCAAAAACAAAAACACACACCACATATTGATAATGCGGAACTCAAAAGATTTTGTTAATACGTACCAAAGGAAACCTGAAACAGAACTAAACCACCAATTCTGGCTATGGCTTCTGATTATGAAACCTAATGAAGCTCAAATACTCGTCGTTGATCCAACTGTACTTCTCCATGAAAGGGTTGACAAGCGTTTTCGGCGGATAGCGGTCTATGCAATCTTCCCACACGTTCGCATCCTCCAAGTTCTTCATAACTTCCCACACACAGTTGTTGCATTTGAAACCAGCTCCAAGGCTCACCATCAAGATTTTATCGCCTTTCTTCAGCCTTTTTTTAGCTTCCATGTAGCCCAAAACATACCATAACCCACCGGCGGAGGTGTTTCCGAATCGGTGAAGCGCCATTCTTGATGGCTCCAAGTCATATTCATTGATCCGTAAACACTTCCCAATCCCGTCAATAACAGCTCTTCCTCCAGGGTGTAAACAAAAGTGATCAATTCCCGATTTCAGATTCAAACCTGCGCCCGCTGTTTCAAAGCTAGTGGTAGCGCCTTTGGCCTTCCTACGCCGAGTGACAATTATATATCGAAGTAGCTCTCTCAGGGGGAGGATTTTTGGTACTAGAACCTGGAGGTTCGTGTAAAAAGCATGAGCTCCAGCTTTTGGTAGGGCTCTGGTGAGAAGGAAACCTCGGTAGCCGAGTCCATCTTCTTTTTGAAAGCAGCATCCATATGCTTCATCGTTTGCGCCGATATGAGTCCTCACTGAATGGTTCAACTTCATGATGGATTTGTGTTTTAAAGCTCTGTTGTTTGTCAAAAGAATGGAGCAGCCACCTGTGCGGAACAGACAGTTGGAGAGCATCATGGATTTTTCTTTGCCGCAATACCAGTTTGGAGCAAGAGATTCCGAGCTAACGACAATGGCGAGTGCATTGTTATATGACTTGAATAATTGATGAACAAGATCAACAGCTACAAGACTCGCACTGCAACCCATGCCGGATAAATTGAACACCTTGAGATCATCCCTCATCTTGTAACGATTCATCACGCGAGCTGACAGAGAAGGAAGGCCAGGGAGGAGTGACACATTGACGACGAGTATGTCAACGTTAGATGGAGAAACTCCCGTCTTCGCGAAGAGGCGGTCAAGAGTGTCAAAGATAATATCATCCATCTCCGAAAGAGCATCGATCAAAGAAGGTGATTCTTCTCTTCCCGCAATGACATTTTTGGGGCCATAAGTGTCCTCTCCGAGGCCTGAATTGACGATGGTTTGTAAGAGAAATCTGAATTCTTCCAGGCCCAAATTCTTGTTTCTGAACACGACTTTTGCGCTCTCTCCAGTGCTGAGCCTGGCCTCGTCAGCAGCTTTGTAACACTCATAGGCGAGCATATAGCAACATTGGCTTCTCCTTCGAGAAACCAACTTACAGAGATGGAACACGAGGTAAGTAAGAGGCAAAAGATACAGTAATGCAATTAAAAACTCCATTGAAAGACAGAGATCAGGAGGAGTGGTTTTAATTATACAAGAAATTGAGCAATACTACATATATAATCCCAGTGGATGATATGCTTGTCTATCTATTTATAATACTTATTTATGACCAGCCATGCAATATTTTCTTGTCAATTATGATAATGATGTGCTTTTCTATTCATTTACCTAACAATTGCGTTCTCAACTATTTCTGTATATTCAATTCAAGCACATTTGTAATTCTAATTACAGCCTGTACTTTCTCAATTGATAATTTTTTTCAATTAATTAAGGGTCAAATCATTTACTGGGAAAGACCTTGTTCACAAAAACGGCTCTTTTATGCATCCGAATTTCAGTGTCATCTTTCTCTAGTTCGCTGGCTAGGAGAGGAACAGCAAGGACAACTGCAGCTAGCGCCACAGAAATAATGGATTAATATATTTATTAAAAATGATACGAAAAGTACTGTACAGTACTACAGTACAGTCTATGACGCCAGGTAGCATTTACTTAAGGTGCCCATAGAATAGAAATCCCATTAAAATCCATTGAAACTGGTTCTTAATTTCTTGTTTTGGTGGGTGAAACGTGAAACATCGTGCTCATAATGCAACATTTAACATACTAGTTTTTGACAGATTAAAAAAGTTTTCAAATAATTATAAATACTGTTTTGGATAATATTAGAAATCTTCAGTTTTTTTTTTTTTTTTTTTTTTTCCGATCGTTTTTACTCTGGATTCTTTGTAGAACAAAATTACTAGAACTATATTTAGAGTTGAATGATTCGATTAAATCCAGGAATGATCAAATATTCAGATGTGAAAGCAATCAATAAGATTAGGGTAAGATGGCAATGATAATTAAATAGTGGATGGGAACGGTGAGAGTGAAGGCTTTGATTGATAGTACCTTGATCTTAATTTTCTTCTTCAATTATATATAGAATTGTCTGAACAATTAATTAATTTCCACCAACAGGCCATGTGATGAACAGTTTAAAAAAAAAGTCTACGACAAAAACCTACCCTAATAAATACATTGGCCATTGTTGGATTATTCACCCTCAATTTTTCTCCTAAGCAAAAGTCCAAGCAACCAAAAAAAAAAAAAAAAAAAAAAAAAAAAAACCTTATATTATCAAATATCTGGTTCAAGATTGGAACACATATTGTTTTTATGGTTCTCTTTAGGCCTGGGCATTTAGGACCGATCCCAAAAAAATCGGTCCTAGGACCTGTCCTCACAAGGATCGATCCTATAAGGTCTAGTCCCAAACCCGGACTAAGCCCATGGAGGAGGGACCAATCTCTAGATCAGGCCCTCCTCCAAGACCTCGGCCTAGTGATGGTGATGGGTTGGGCCGTGATCTAGTACCCCTTGGCTCATGCCCAAGCCCAACCTCATGAAAAAGGGCCAAGCCCGACCTAGACCCGTCACGGGTGTGACAGGTAAAGTCTAAGCCTAGCTCGACGGGTTTTTTGTAACCTTAGGCCCGCCCATTTTTATAATATGAATTTTTAAGTATTAATAAATTTCAATTTTTTTTATATTTTTAATTCTGAAAACAATTTTTAAATATTAATTTATTTTTGAATACTCACCAAATATATAAATAACTTTCCACAAAGTGCATCCATTCATCCATCCATGTAGGGTTTGGGCAAAATGAGTATATATATGTAGGATAATCTTATAATTAAATATATAGTATAAGGGTAATTTAGTATAATTAATACTAAAATTGTTGGGTCAGGCCGGGCCTGAAGAGATACCTAGGCCCGGTCCGTACCCAAGGTCGAGCCTTGAAATCAGGCCCAGACCCAAGCCCAAGCCCGCGAACATCAGGTAAAGCCTGACTTTTTTTGGACAGGTCAGGTCGGGTAGCCGAAAATATCAGGCCCATTGCCATCTCTACTTGGGCTTGGGACCGAACCCAAGCCTGGACCCAAACCCCTTTGCATTTTTTCAAAAAATTCCCTGGAAAATATCCAAAACCTCCCGTAAATTTTAAAATTGACAAAAATATTGAGGGTTGAATTGATATTTCACAAAATTTAGGCCCCTAAAAATTATATAATCCCCCCTACATAATTTTTTTTGGCCCTAAATATAAAAAAAAAAAAATTAAGGGGTGGAAAAAATTTTCCAGGCCTATGAGTGACTAGTCCCAAATGGGACCAGTCTTGTTGGGACAGGTTCCAATCGGGCCCAGAACCGGACCCCGTTGGGACTGGTCCTGTCCAGGTCTAGTTCTCTTTAATTATCGTGACATAAATGAGGAGATGATAATTGAAGAAGACTTGGGTTCCCAATAATTAACAACTAGTTTAAGGCCCGCGTGTTGCGCACGTTGCTTTTGAAATTGGATTTGGACATATTGTTTATCTTTTGGATTGTTTATTTACTTATGAATTTTATGTGAAAAAACAATATTTTATTGCAGACATTTTTTGATACACTGGATAAAAGATTTTCATATTCTATTAATGAATAATATTTTATTTTAATTGCATTGTAATTTTATGAGAAAAAGNCATTTAATTGAAATACAAAAAAAAAATTTAGGTGATGGTGTCAAATTAAATTTTGGCCACGAAATCAATCAAAGTGTGCCCAAAAAAATCAAAACCTTAACTGTTGTAAGGTTGTGTTGGTAAGATTTCAAACTTGAAGGGCTTGATTTATTTTTAGGGTTGTTTTTGCAGCGTGGGACCCAACGACTTGGCCGGGTGGCACCGCAGGTCAGGTTCTAGAACATTGGTAATTATAACTTGGTTAAAAAAGTTTGGATATGTTATTCTCATGGACAGTGAGCCAGTACAATAATAAACCAAAGTCCTTCTGGTGTCCACCACGAGTAAATCTCTCTTAATAATTTATTAATCCTAATTAATTTGTAACTTTGGTTCACGTTGCTCAATTACCAAGTTTTATTTTATTTCATCCTTTTTTTTTTTAATAAATATTTGTTTTCATTCTTTTTTTATTGTTTGATTTGTTTATTTGTGGTTTATATTATATTGTGTAGCTTTGTTTGATATACATTGGATAATGACAGTAAGGATTAAGTATTTGTTTGAGCTTTTATAGTTTTGCAAGATTGATTTTTGAAATTTGATTGTAGCAATCTGAAATAAAGGGTTGAAGAAAGTGAAGCTTTATTTGGTTTTTTTGTTGTTGTTTGAGTTATTGTATTGTTGTTCATATTATATCGTAAAGCTATGTTTGATATACAACGGATAATGAGAGTGATGATTAAGTATATGTTTGGGCTTTTATAGTTTTGCAAGATTGATTTTATAGTTGGATTTTGTTTTGGTTTTGGTATTGTTAATAGTATGTCAACCTCAAATCAAATGTCAAAGAAAGGAAAGTGCCCTGTTAATGTTAATCCTAGACGCTCTGTTCATTTTCAAGAAACAGATCTTGAAAAGTGAAATGAAGATATTCAGCGTCTTATTGATTCTATCGTTTATAGTGAAAGTGAAGAAGAAGATCAACGACCAGGATATGTGATTAAGGAGAGTTCTCAGTCCAATAGGAAAAACAAAACTCTGGAACAGAAAATTGATTACTTGATTGAAATGATAGACAGTAAACAAAGCAAGCTTAATTACTTTTGGTGATAATCTTGTACCTGTCAATTCAAATACTGACGTTTATATTTTAATTCGCAAAAAGAGTTATTATCAACATAGTTGTAAAATCATTGTTTTTATATCGATTTTCATTATTGTATTGATTTAATTGTTTTATTTATTTATTTTGATGTTGTTTTGTTAAACATATTGAAATTTTAACTTAGGAGAACCATAAACTTGCTTTAAAGCTAAAAAACTTGCTTGGTAAATTTGAAGTGGTATGTTTGTTACGGCTTTTGTATTTGTCTGATTTATTGAGTTGTTTTTATTCGGGATTCATGTTTTTTAATTAGTGTTGTGTGGAAGGTGTTTGAATATATGTTCTTTTGCATAACATATATGTGTTTGTTTATATTATAAAACACTTTTATTCTAATAATTTATTTTTATATTTTTGGATAAATAACTTACAAATATTTAATTTTATTGTAGCATGAGAAACATGTTGAATTATATTCTGGATCTGTGGAGAAATGGAAGGATATGTTTTTGAGTTCAAAAGTTTCAAAATATGCTGAAAAAGCAGTGGATATACCTTGTCAATCAAAACCGGGGAAAAAGCATGGTCGCAAACCCAAAAATTCAACTATCCGACAAAAGGAATTGGATATATAAGTTATGTGTAATTAGTTTTTGTGAAACTTTGTTGTTTTTTATAAATTGTAGTGTTGAACATGATATTTACATTTGTATAATTATGAATTTCTCTTATTTATTGTCTAATTATAATTCATCATGCTTAAAATTAATTAATAGTTGGGTTACTTGTTATCGTAATTTATTTTAGTTTATAAAAATGATTTTAAGATTAAGCAAGTATATATTTTGATTTTTTTAGATTAATATTATGTATGTGTTATTTATTATTGTTTGGAATATGGGTTGTTAACAAAAAAGAATAAAAAACTTAAGATGATGTTGAGAAATTTGAATACTGTAACTTGTAAGTTAATGAGAAACAGAAATTGTTGCTATTGTACTTTGGAATTCAATATATTGTTATTTAATTTATTATATATTAATTATTAAAGAAATGTGTACATTCACATTCTTCATTTCTTATCGTGATAATTTGCCAGTTCCATTTCGTTTGTAACTCCAATATCATCATATTAGAAATAATAATGATTGTTGAATGCATGATATCCACCAACCTGTCAATGAGATGTTTCGCTTTCTGTCTTTCGGTATTTATATTCTCTACGTTGCTTTCAACATTTTTTATAATCTGTCTCAATTCGTATTGTTTGTTAAGTATTGCTAATTCAACTATTGAAAAAATTTAAAAAAAATTGTTAGCTTATGAAAACTAAACAATTATAGAGTTTATATATATATATATAAAATATAACCAAATGAGTAAAATGTCTAGTACCGCTTTCAAAGTTCTTCAGATTACAGGAGAAGCAAAAAGCATCAATAAA